ACCTTTGCAAATTGCTACTGAAGTTGCTGCTTATTTCTGACAGGTCAGTATGGCCCTCAACTTTTTCCTCACCTCTATTCCATTAGAATAGCCAAGGTACGCACTGTCATCTCCTTATTCTTATCCTCTATAGAGCCCTACAGTGCTCCTTCTCTCTTGAACTCCTTTCTGTCTTAGTAATGCCACATGCATGAACGCCTTGATGGTATACATTACCGCATGTTATGACATCTTTCACCTACTTTCGTGTCCTTCCTACTAACAGACTGGGAACTTTTCTCCTCACTGGCTTAAAGGACTACTCCTACCTTTCCTTTTTCTAATAAATCCGGCACCTTCCCTCAACACGAGCGGCTAGTTGCTGAGTAGCTGTTTATGCAAATTACTAGATTGAATGGTCAGCTGGCGCATAATGTGGTGCCTGGAATCCCTTCTCTCATACTGTCAATTTTCGTAGTGCTTGAACCACAAATGACTTCCTTGCACATATTCTTTGGCATCATGGCATACAGGGGAACTTGGGTGCATTCATTAAATAATTCCTTACCAATCGTACCTTCCGAGTCAAAATTTCCTCATCTTCATCCTTTCCTTAATATCCCCCCCACCCCCCAATCCCTTGCCCACTGTCGTTGTGGGGGGTATAGGAGGCGAGAACTGGGGCCCAATGTAGGGGATCTCCACTACCCTAGGCTTCAGCCCTCGACGCAACTAATTTTGCACTCCTGTTTTGTTTTTCCCTTTCCGTTCCTTCTCCTTTGTGCCAGTCCTGAACGGCCTGAGGGGACCATGATCATGGTATTCCCCTGGTTTAATTGTCTAGCCCTTATCCTTCAAGAGGGACCCTGAGGGGTGGACTGTTTCTTTCCCCAACATAGTTTAGGCTTACCATGGCCATCAATGAAGTTATTATATCCCTGTTAGGAGTAATGAGACTTGCCCCTTCATCAAATATGAGTCTGAACACTGCAACTACTACCCACTCCTCAATGCATTACCCACCCAAGTCAAAACTCAATCTACAGGAGACATTCCTACTCTCTCAACTACAACTTCATCATCTCCACCTCCACAACTTTCTTCATCAATCAACCCATCCACTTCTACTATACTTAATACCACCCCTATCTATACAATATCTTATTGTATTTAGTTAAGCCAAATGGGACCGAATATCTCCAAAAACAAGACGGCAAAGTCTCTTTCCAAAGTCTCTGGTCTAGCCTTACCACTAATAACCTACGTAATGTGAAACCTTCCATCTCTCCTTGGTCAATACCATCCAATAAGAATAGATGTTGGGAAACTGCCCTTGCCTGCTTACGCATTGAACACACTCACTTCACACATTGTAATTGTAGTGATTAAAAATGTTCATGTTCAGCTATAATTACTGGAATTGTGATCATGGTAACAGTGCTTGTGCTTAAAGTTTTCATATATGCGATCGTCTTCATAACTACTAAATACGTATTAAAGTTAAAAGTTTCATGAAAGTACATGCATATGTATTTGACCTTTGGTGCTGATGGTAAGCTCAGTATGTGTGTTCATGATTAAGTGTTCGTGTTTAATTGAACATGCATTTGTAACTAAAATTGTGCTGACGGTAAGG